TTATTCCCATTTTGTGGATAAGTGAAAACCAAAACCATCCACGCCCACACGGCTCACTGCATACATTAATATGACTTTCCTGTCCCATGATTGTCTTCGACTTGACTCTACTAATAGAGAAAATTCTTGCCCAGGAAGATAAAAGTTGCACACGAATTTATTGTTTACTCCAGAAACTTCCTGAAAAACTATTTAAATAAACATCAGACTGTTCAACTTTTTCAGTAGACTGTATCAAAACAGTGTTTCCTCTTCAAGACTCTTTGAAACCCTGTCCTAAGTAACTGCACCTTTCCAAGACCACCAGCCCTAAACCATTATATCACGATACTTGCCCAATCCAAATCACACCCCCACATTGGAAGACCCACCTTAAAAGACATCATCAATATCCTGCCTTCACCTTCCTCACTTCGAGATGCTATTAAGACTCTGTCAAAGTAGTAATCTCCCTTACTTCCAGAAGAAATAAACCCAGTCTTGCCTAATTAACAGGCTTTTGGGGTGGTGTTTTAAGGAGAGCCATATTTTCAGTAAGAGGCTGGGGTTTAGAGGCAATGAAAGCTGGTGATTAAGAGCACAAATTCTGAAGGTTAGATTTCCTGGCATCGAATCACAGCTCTGCCACTTACCAAATGAACTTCCATGAACCTCAGTTTCCCCATCTATAAAACGGGGCTAATAATCAGACTTATCTCAGGAGTCGTTGTGAAGGATAAATGAGTTATTTCATGTGACACACTTAGAACACTTCATGGCACATAGTAAATGCTTACTAAAAGTTCCCTCTATTGGGATCACGATCATTTTATTATTTAACAGCTGGTAAAGGCAACAGCAGAATTCTAACTGAGGTCTAATGTCAGAGTCCATTTTTTGACTCAGATGACAGCAGTAGAGGAGAACTCACGTTTCTTAGGTACCTGGTGTGGAACCACAGTAGAGTCTGTTTTGAAAGTGAACTCCAATCTTTACAAAAACCCTGTGAGGTCAGCCTTAGCATCCTCGTTTTGCAGATAATAAAAGTGACCAAGAGATTTAACAACTTTCCCAATGTAATAGAGGGAACAAGAGCTAAAAGTCACCTTTTCTTGGGCATCTGGTGACTTATATAAATTCTAATCTGTTACCCCATCAGAATTGGGTCTAAGGAGCTTGGATAATGTTAAGGATAAACAGAAGTTTAGATATCGAGGTTAGAGTAAGTTACAATAAACTTTGAAATGGACTTGGAACTATATATTAATACAGTGCTATATTTTCATAAAACTAACATCTTTCTCAATCCATCTATTCAGTTTAGGGTTAAAAACTGGCTAAGGTTATGGGTATATAAATGGTAGAATCTAGAGTCAAGAGTGGAGATGGAAAAAGAGTTGGACTTAGACAAAAAAGTAGGTTAAGACAGGGCACAGTGGCTCACTGTAATCCTAGTAGTTTGGGAGGCTGAGGCGGGAGGATCGCTTGAGGCCAGGAGTTTGAGACCAGCCTGAGCAACAGTGAGACCCTGCCTCTACATAAAATAGAAAAATTATCTGGGCGTGGTGGCGCATGCCTGTAGCCCCAGCTACTCGGAAGGCTGAGGCAGGAGGATCACTTGAGCCGAGGAGTTTGAGGTTGCTGTGAGCTATGATGACGCCACTGTACTCCAGCCTGCGTGACAGAGTGAGACTCTGTCTCAAAAAAAAAAAATTAGATTAAGCATTAGGACAAAGTTACAGTGAGATTTAAGGATAAAGATGGTTTAGAGTTAAGGACACAAGCATTGGGTGTCTAGACAGAGCTAGAATACAATGAAGGTTTAGATGGAATTAGGATTTTTTGAGTGCTAAAGGAAGAACATAATTAAGACTTTTATGCAAGAATAAATGTGCCCATGGATAAGTGCCTTGTATGGATTTTAATCTCTAAGGAGGCATCAATGCTTCCTAAGAGAGAGTAGGCTTTGGAACCACATGGACTTGAATTCAAATTCTATGTCTGACGTTGCCTGAGAGTGTGACCTTGAGAAGGACATAATTTTACTGAGACCGTTTGTTGAATGGGTGAGGAGGAACAGCATCTCACAGAGCTACCATGGAAAGATTCGACAGGATATTGTAGATAAAGCTTCTGCATCAGAGTCTAGTGAAGACAGAGCATTGAATGAATGTTGGTCACTATTCAGTTAGGATTAGATATAGAATAGAATTAAGATTCAATGTTAAGCTGCACTGAAGTGTAGGTCGGGTACGTCAATGGGTGCATCTGGCTATTGTCAGTTCTAGAAATAGAAATACCCAAAGGCCAGTACTGGGACCACAGCTCATAGTTTCAGCTCTCAGGACACCTGGCATTGGGGACTGGAAGACTCTGGCCTCAGGAGGTTCCTATCTCTGGGGCTGTCATAGCGGACTCTCTGAGCAGACACTTGGCTCCTGGAAGTACCCCTGCTCGTTGCCTTGCCCTCCACCCTGCCCAGCCCCCCTCAGGAGGATCGCTGCGTCCTCTGTCCTTCCCGCCACATACCCCATCCTCATCCTCCCTCCAGGGGCTCACCGTTCGTTTCACAGAACTTCCACTGCTGCTTCTCGTCAAAGCTGGAGGTGACTGAGCACCAAAGCCTTCCAAGCAGGCTGCCCTCTGTGATACAGCTCTGATAGGACTTTCCCCGGTAGATGAAGGGGAAAACGCATCGCGGGTAATCTGTTTGGAAGAGGGCTCATGAGTGGCTCAACTTCTTCAAGTCACGCACACGACAGAGTTATTTAATCATCAGCCAATCAACCAACCACCAAAGTACAGGAAAAACATCAGGTTTGAAAAAGACTTCATGCATTCATTTCATCAAGCGTTTAGTAAGACCTACTCCACATACAGTCAACCCTTGAACAACATGGTTGTGAACTGCATGGGTCCACATATACATGGATTTTTTCCAATAAAAGTTACACTGG